ATTGATCATCCATTGCTGATGTCTTTGCACCTTGGCATCATGTTAGCGAACAGATGAGCCCTTTAAGCAGCAAACTGCCTGAATTCCTGCTTTTACAGAAGTTGTCTCACTAATGACGATCAGTTAAACCGGTGGATTTGAAGACAGTTTGACTGTAAAAACTGTGTACCAGACACCGAGTCAGCCGCTGGGCCGGCTGCTGCTGGATGGAGGGCTAATGGTGAGGAGACGAGGGCGGATCCACAGCTCAACCTGAGCGAGGCGGTAATGATCCCCGCCTCGCCTGAGGCCCGGCAGGCGGCCCACGGACCTGCTGGGCATCCGTCACTCGGCCTATTTATGCGCCGCCGCACAGAAATATCTCCAATCTGAGGATCATTACGCCACTGGATGTTTTCTAACAGAGGTGATAGGTGACAGGTTTTCACCGCTTTCAGCGATAAATTAGCACCTGGGGCTTGACGTGGTTGTCAAGGCGGTAAGGAGGATGGGAAATAAATGTTTCTAAATGTCAGTTTCCACCGTTCAGTCAAGATGATCTGGTCATTTTACTCTCCTCAGAAAACAGTTAGATATGAAAATAATAAAAGAGACCAGATTGCTGACCCAAATTAGCTGGCTATTTTATAAAATATCTCTGCAGAAGGAAAAATAACACATCAGTGTGTTTATGCAAAATGCTAACTGTCTTATTTATTTACAGGAATTACAGCACATAAATAGATATGGTGGCATAAGCAAATTATCCTCCATTTCTCTATTGTTTGTATGTTTCTTCATTTGAAACAAAGTATTTTGGGAAAAGAAGAAAATAGGAGGAGAGGAAACAGCATAACAAGTCTTCACCCTCTTCAAAATAAGAGCATGAATAAAAGCATTTAATAACAGTCAACTAAACTGAAATGGACGTTGAACTTTACCCAACTAGAAGTAAGTTAGAGATTTAGAGTCTATTGTTTTCAAAGTTAGCAGAACTGCTAATGTGCTAAAGAACCAAATTAGCTCTACTATTAGTGGATTAGTTAAAGCGTGCATATTACTGCTTCCTACGATTATAAAATGTGTGTTACTGACCATTCACCAGGAAGAAGCCAATACCTCTAAAACAATTTATATATTAAAACACTAATGAAAATATCAAATTATTAAGTTTTTAAATACTGAAAGATTCAATAAGTTAGCAGAATATTGCAGTGGCGGACCACTAGGGGGCTCCACTCACACCCAGACTGAGATCTAAAAATGTGTTTTAACAACTTCAGTCAGAGGCTTCTTCAGAGCCACCGTGATACAGACTGCTACAGGAGATTCTTATTTCGTCCATCAACCTTGACAAAAACGCTTCAAAGGTAAAAATATGAACTACAACAATTTAATTTTCCTCTGGGATTAGTAAAGTTTTTAAATTGAACTCTTCCTCCTCCCCTGCAGTCTTTCGTGTTGCAGTTCTCCGGTGGGCAGATAGAGGGCGGTATTTCCAGCTGGTTTTAATGTTTGCGTCTCTCTGCAGAAGGTGCCACTTGTTTCAAACGCTGATTTACCGTTTCTTCAGCAGCCTGGCGGGTCATTATGTTCCCTGAACGCTGACTGACAGGCAGCGCTGTTCGCTCCCACACACAGAAACAGGCTGAGGAGGAGGACGATGTTCTGAGGCCCGTTTGCATCTGGAAAACCTCCAGAGAGCAGCAATAAGTCACAAATCTCTGCTGGAAAGGAGAATAAATGTTCCTTTGCAAAAATATTCACACCTCTTCAGCTTTTTCTCCGTTTTCTTACTTTAAACTGTAATATATTTTAGTGGTACTTTAATTGATGAAGACAAGTCAGTGCATAATTTGAAGGGGAAATAAAGAAGAAACAGTTAAAAAAAATTAAAACATTCACATCTTTTTCTGCTCTGATACCCTTAAATATTCATCTGGTTTTCACTGATAAAGTGGAAAGATTGTCAAATTGTAAAAAGACAGAAGAATCCTGAAGAAGAAAACCTGTCGCAATAAACAACCAATTAATGCATGATAAATTAAAATGAGCTCAATAATCTCCATTCTGATGATTCAGATTTTTTTGGTTGCAGAAACAGTTTATTTTATTTATAGCTTCAGTTTTGTGTAGTTTTTATTTCCTATTTTTGTTGTTTTCATTTTGGATTTTTAAAATATCTTGCAGTTCCAGTGTGGAGTTTTTTTTGTTACAAATTATTATTATTTACAAAATTAGAGTTTATGAGTTTTGAGAGGGCAAACTTAATAAAAACAATGTTTTTATTTTGCATTGTGTCCAGTAATGACAGTATTTGTCCAGTTTGATGCAGATTATTGAAATAAAGCTAAACCTGACGGCCTCTTCTAAAGCTGATTCAGTTGGTGACACGTTTCTTTTCTCAGGTAATTTACTCCCAGTTCTTGTTCTGCTTCGTGTTGTTGCAGGTTTGTGTTGTTGGCTCTCTGTGTGGAGCAGAAATGGGTTTCTGTATTTCTGTATCTGTCAGAGGAGACAAAGCAGGAACACGAGTTGCTGAATGCAGCAGCGTCTGACTTTATGAAAAGCTTCCTGAAGCCTTCTGCTCCGGCTTCACCTGTGAACAAATTTAATCTCAGACAGAGTCCTCGAGTGTTTGTGACACAGAAGAAGTGTTCACACTGCGAGAGGGAAAATGAAAACGTCTTAATGGAGCTCCTCTCTCCTGTCTTCACCCAAGGCTGTTCAGCAGATTGCTTCAAGAGTTCAATTGTGCTCAGCTAATGCATAACAAACAGATGAAGCAGAAGCAATCAGTCCGCCGCCGCGTCCTCCGCTCTTTCTCTCTGAAGTGCTGAAATAAATCAAAATTATGTTTTTTGGTGGATTGGAGGATTTGGCTCTGAGGAGAAATTCATTACAGCCGTTTCTTCTGCAGCTTTGATGTCTGTCGAGCTGCAGCAGGTGAAACATGGTAATATCTGCTTATAAAGGCAAACTGGAGCTGGAATTAGTCAGAGCTGCAGAGCAGATCGCATTTAAAGCAGCGACTGCAGCACATTGACATGCAGAAAGCTTCAAACCAGGGGCGGCGCTACGGGGGGGCATGGGGGGAAATAATATAAAAAAATGACATCAGGCTGAGAAAGACAGAAAGTTATGAGCAAATTCTGGTTTTAAAGATGAAAATCTGAAAAATAACATAACATAGTTACAAAATAACTAAATGACTAAAGACATTTAAACATATAAATGTGTCTGTGTTTTCTTCCAAGAGACATTAATACAATAAATAGTCTTTTAATGTTTTGTTGGTTTTTAAATGTTTTCATATTTGGTGTTTCCTCCTCAGACGAGGTGCAGTGAACTCGGCTTCAGAGCAGAACATGTTTTACTGAGAGGATTCCCCAGGACTCCTCTCCATGTCTGTCTTCAGCTCTCTGCTGGTCTGGGGCTGAAGTTCAGCCTCTGACTCTCTGCTGCTGGTAAACAGACCTTACTGACAAATCCACAAATCTGGAGAAAAAAGTCAGAGTCAGGCAGACAGAAAACGGTTTATCCCACAGACGGATCTGTTTCTTTTAATTGTGAATAAATAAAAACAGAACAAAATGAACTAAAGAAAGATAAAGCAAGAAAGAACAATGAATAAATGCTTTAATGGATAAAAAACAAAACAGGATAATCAATAACTAACCAACCAAACTAACCAAACATCAGACAGAGACGGGTTTGAATGGACGACATCCAATCATCCAAACCGCCAGTTAACCACCTGAAGAACCTACTAACTAACCAACCAAACTAACCAACCAACCTGTTAAAAAACAACCAAAATCCTACCAACCAATCAAAACGAACAAATAAACCAATGAAATAACGAATGAAAACAACCAACCAACCACAACATGAATAAATCAATAACCCAACTATCCTCTGGTAAAACCAGGCAAAACACCAATTAACTAATTAAAGAACCTTATAAATAACTAATCAACCAATTAGCCTGTTAAAAACAACATAAACCAACTAAATAACCAAATCAACAAACATAAAAACCAACAGGAAACCAACCAACTACCAGCTTCTTTGACCAGGTGAAGCTAAACACAAACCAATTATCATTTTTATTTTTCCTCTCCAAATAAATAATGACAGTAAAAATGAAACTGTTACGTAACAAATGTTTTATTTTTTGATCCAGGTTTTGTTATACAAGTCAAAACACAAACATTACAGAGAAACTGACAGTTTGGTTTTTATTCCTGTTTGAGCATTTAGGATTTTCTGAGTAACTGTAAAAAAATGGATTTCAGACCTAAAATATGATCGAAAATACCCAAAATAAACCTAAATAACTTATTCTACTGCAGTAAATGAAGAGCAGCAGTACAAAAATAATAAAACAATATGACACAGAAAGATGAGCTCCTAAAGCAAACTAATGAATTTCCTTTAAAAGCCACATTTCTACTCTGATGATGGAAGAGCAGGAAGTTTAAAGTCCAATCAAAGCAGCGACCTCAGAAACATCCAGGTGAATTAACTGTGTGCCGCTCAGAACAGGGTTGAATCTTGCAGTAATTGCATCCTGCTGCAGGTCGCTGCTGCTGTTTATTAAAAACTCTCCATGAAACTGCAGATTTCTCCGTTTCTCAGGCCAGATGTGGAGGAAATGAGCAGAAATGTTGATTTTGTTGCATTAAAAACCGTTTTGATGTCAGAATCCTGAACTTTTCTAACCTGAATGAAACTAACCTGTGTGGCGATCTGAAGGCAGCGTTCAGCTTCTAGTTATTAAATCTCTGAGCTCAGGCTGATGTTCGCAGACAGAAACCAGTCAGACCAGCTGAAGACAATTTCACCTTCTGAAACTGGAAGTTTGTGCAGATTATATGTACATTTAGTGTCAACATTCAGAATCCTTCCTGTCATCCTCCTTCCCTCCATCGGCTCTCCGACCGTCTGGACTCACTACAACCTGATCACGTCTCAGCCTTTACATAAATACCAAGGCTTCATTTCACAGATTTTATCAATCAAGATTTAGACCGTAGTCATTTTATTAATTGAGACAATCATCTAACATCTCAGCCCTCGTTCCTCCAGTGTCCCAGTTCCTGGTTCTCGGGTCGTTATTCTGACACCCGGGTGGCGCCGGCCTCCTCCACCGGCCCCTCCCTCTTTGTTTCCGCGGCGCTCTCCTCCTTGGCCGGCTCGCCCTCGCCCTCCGCCCCCTCCTGGCCCTCGGCGACGGCCCGCTCTTTCTTCAGCTTGATGCGGAAGGTCTCTTTGGTGGGGGCTTTCTTGGCGATGTTCTCCTTCAGTCGCTCGCCGGACTGCTTCAGCCGTTCCCCCGCCTGGTGCATCTTCTCCCTCCTCTCCGGCGGCATCACCTTCTCGCCCAGGTTGTGGAACTTGGTGCCCAGGTTGTCTTTGGTTTTGCTCATGTTCTCCTTGGAGAAGGCGGCCTTCAGGGTCTCCGTGCTCTTCACCATGGACTTCTTGAGTCGAGCGGCTCGAGACGGATCCGGCTCCTCGTCTCTCAGGTACTCTTCGTCGGAGGAGAGGTCGGCGGGGATGTCGTAGGCATCCGGCTCAATCTCCAGGCCTTCCAGCCCAAGTCCTTGGGGAGATTTGGTGACAGCCACGGATGGGACCTCCGTCTCACCCTGAATAACGACAAGAAACCTGAGATTAACTGAGAAACCTGAGATTAACTGAGAAACCTGAGATTAACTGAGAAACCTGAGATTAACTGAGATTAACTGAGAAACCTGAGATTAACTGAGAAACCTGAGATTAACTGAGAAACCTGAGATTAACTGAGAAATGTGGATCTGGTCTCACAACGACTTAAAAACAACAGCAGTATTTTAAAGTTACATTTTTGTAACGACCTTCTGGAGTAATTTTTACAACATGGTAAATGATGGAAAAGTGTTTATTTAGTATTAGCTCCATTTCATGGATTGTGTCAAATATGCATCTACAGGCTTCTTGGCTGTGCTAAGAAACTTTAATTAAATAATAAAATGAAACTAGCAGTGTTTTCTCACCTGATATTCCAGTAGAATCAGTTTAATTTGGGACCAAACCTTCTTCATCTGCTCCTCCTCCAGCTGCTGTGGTTCTGAGTCAAATCAGCCTGTTCCCCTCCTGGCCTGTGGGGGCGCTGCACCAAGAACCACTGAAGGAAACGACACAAAAACCTCTGAAGACACTGAGAGCAACTTCCTTCTTCACCAGATGGAAACAAGATGGAGGCGTCAGATTTTAGCGGTGGGAGGATTTCTCTTTAGGCTAAAGACCAGGAGCCATTTCTGCTGCTAGCGCTAGGCTAGCATGTTAGCTTTGGTTGTATCTACCCAGAATGCCCTGTGCTGCAGCCCACTTCCTGCTTTTAGAGCGGTTTCCGGTCTGCTTGACGTTCACATATGCATTCAACTTCAACCAAACTGAGGTCGAGGTTTTTGGACGGACCAGATTTCACTTTCTTGTCCCATCAGAGTTTGGTGACACATTCACGTCTTCCCAAAGGATCCGGACTTTCCAGGCAAACGGACTGCAGTCCGTTGAAAGTGGACTGAACACAGCTGGTGTGAATGCAGCTCAACAAACCTCAACTTTAATTCCTGCTGAAGTACATTTGTAAAAACCTAAGAATACGTTTCTGATTAAAAATATAACAAGCACGTGTCAAAAGGTAATAAAAATACATTTTTTAAATTATTATTTAGGATTATTTTAGGCTCTGATTTTCATTTGGTCGGGGGTGTAAATACTTTTTTTATACACAACAATAAGTGGGTAAAGAATCTTTGAAATAAATGTCAGAATTTTTAACAAATACGTTTCAGTGTCTGTTTAATAATAACAAAAATCTTCTACCTGAAAGTGTCTCTATTTAATAAAACATCCTTTAGTGTGGCGTTTTTTTGGCGCTGTTGGCAGGATTTAAACTTATGTTAGAAATATTACAGTTATAAGTAACAGGATTTCCACTAATAAACAGCTGAGGTCATTTCAGTGAGATGGTTTATGTTTTACAGCTTCATTCACAGAAAAAGAGGAAAGAAATGCTGCAAAGGAGCCAAATTAAAGTCAAAACCTGGAGTGGATAGTAACTTTAAACATCTCCATTAGCTGCAGATGTCAAGATTAAGACTAATTTATCTGAAATATTCCTGCTTTTGACCCTTTAGTGCAGCTCCATCTGAACTTCCTCTCTTATCATACATCACATTGGCTCCATCTCAGCGGACGGCTCAGTTGTCCAAGTGCAGATGAAACCGATCTGTTCTCTCCACTACGGATAAATTTACTCTGCTGCTTCTTAAACCCAAGCAGCTCAGACAGAAACATTATATTCCTCAGAGATGCTGTCAGACCTGCAGCCCCTTGTTTCTGTCTGAAAACACAGCCGTCATCATGAGATCACGTTTCCCTATTTTTACATATGAGAAGGTCACAGAGAGACGACCAAACAGTGAGAGAAGAGCCGCGGTAACAAGCTCCCATCTGCTGCTCCTCTCAGGATTAATGGCTCAGGTATTTATAATTCCTCAGAAATAATCTGACTGCAGAGGTGCTAACAGTGCACATTAACCTCAGCAGGTATTCATCCTTTCATTTAAACATCTGAAAACCAGGTTTTAGCGTTTAAGAGCAGCAGAATGATCATGTTTTCCTGGGCGAACAGAAAGTGCAGCAGGAAATTTCCCCCGCTGCGCCACACAGATGACTTTGGCTGCGGGAGCGAGTTAATCAGGCTGAAGCTGCGGCCACCTGCAATGATCACACTCATTAATCACGGAGGCGTTGTCAGAACGAGCCCGAAAACGGTGAATGACACAATAATTACACCGGCTGGGAATGTGGGTCAGAGAATGTATTAATAACCCGAGAGGTGATGAAGGAAAGAGACAGGAAGTTCAGAGGCGGCGATTATCGGAGCACACAGAGAGCTACGGGACAAAAACACAACATTACAGAGAGACGGTACGGAGAGACGGTACGGAGAGACGATACGGAGAGACGATACGGAGAGACGGTACGGAGAGACGATACAGGGAGACGGTACGGAGAGACGATACAGGGAGACGGTACGGAGAGACGATACGGAGAGACGATACGGAGAGATGATACGGAGAGACGATACGGAGAGACGGTACGGAGAGACGATACAGGGAGACGGTACGGAGAGACGATACAGGGAGACGATACAGGGAGATGGTACGGAGAGACGATACAGGGAGACGGTACGGAGAGACGATACGGAGAGACGATACGGAGAGACGATACAGGGAGACGGTACGGAGAGACGATACGGAGAGACGATACGGAGAGACGATACAGAGAGACGATACAGGGAGACGGTACGGGGAGACGATACAGGGAGACGATACAGGGAGATGGGACGGAG